CCGAAAAAAGTGATCGACGAAACATGAATAGTTGCGCTGTTGTAAAACTTTCATATTTGACCGATTTGACTGGAATGTTTGAATTGCTCGGAAACCAATCAGCAGATGGAACAGAAACTTGTAATCTGCATGACTAGTGAGGGGTTTGCATACCGGGAAAAGACGAAGGTGAATGAAACAGAACAGGCAGAATGTGATTTCTTGTGCTTTTCAAAAACTGATCTCCGAAAATGCTGACGATCTTTTTTTGCCGAGAAAATTATCTGATCTTCTTCCGTAGCTTCGGCCAGAAATAAATTCACTCGCACTGACAATACCAACATGCGATGTCGCGCTTTCTTCATCTACAGTCAATGCCACTTCAGCAGCCATGTCTTCGGAATCTCTACGGCTTCTGCTCTTCTTCAAATTGGCCACAGATCCTGTCTTTTCAAATTTTTGTCCCAAGCTTTCCCAACGCTGCTCGTGAGCATGGACCTTGGCGCATGTTGTGGCTTCGACGGTACGACATTAAGGCGGCCTCTGCATTCCTCCCATTTTCGTAAAACTTATATTAATATATCAGTTCGATCCCCGTAGTGAGCACTAACATGTTGACTTGAACTGGTTAGGTTCCGTACTCTTCCAGTCCGTGGTCATCCATTGATCGTTTATACCGTTCGCTGGGTAACGTGGCACGTGGTGCCATCTTTTGATGCTTTAATTTTTTCTTTTTTATGTTTTATTTTTCTTTATTTACTTTTAATTTATAATTTATCATTTATTTTTTATTTATTTTTTACTTTTTGCTTTTGCTTTTCTATGGATTCGAGAAGCCCACACTTCAAACTGTTTACATGCAAAGTTTCAGCTTCTTCTGTCCAGTGGTTTCTTCTATTAATATAAATGGCCATTCATCTGTAAACTTTCCAAATGGGTCACCCTGTATATCACTCATGTTACAGAAAAATCATATCGAAGAGTTTGGAAAGAAAAGAAAAAAATGACTATCTTGAGATGCTCATTCTTTTATGGTTAAAACATTTCTTTAATTTCTATCCACAAACAGTATCTCAACGATATATGTCTTGAAGATGAGAGGTTCAAAGAGACAACATTTAAAACCTCAGTGATACCTTCATCCTTCAATCATTCCATTCGCATTTTCCCATTCATTGTCGCTCTAATATTGGATTTAATTATTGGCAGGTGAGAAAGTGCATATATATCCAGAATGTCGGCTGACGGAAAGAGGCAAGGAATATGTTGGAAAAGTGAGTGTGACGGAATCAGGCCTGAAATGTCTCAAATGGAGAGACTATCCCGATGGAACGTGGGATGACTACCCGGGCGGCCCACATCTTAACTTCACGACCTCTGACCCCTCTGGAACACCAATCATCAACCTCCGTGAAGAGCGCTACTTCCTTAATCGGGACTCCTGGTCTCACCACAACTACTGCCGGAATCCATACTGGGGGAAAAGACCCTGGTGCTACGTTTTCAACCGTAACATCACATGGGAATACTGTAACATCCCCATGTGCACTAACAGAGGTATTGCTGTATTTTTCACGTATTTTTAGGGTGAATAATTGACAAAGTTACGTGTTTTCGCATGAGGGAATAAATGAATCAGGTAAGAATAAGATGATCCGTAGTATGCTAGTTAATAACCAATTTTATGTCGTAACACCAACATATTCATTGCATATGTTTCCCGTGTTCCATGTAGAACAAAATGTTTTCTGTTTCATTGAAATTCATGTTATTTTCACAATTTCAGCCTTAAAAAATCTGGAATCAAAATGTTCCAAACTAGTCAAACTGATAAATGACATTCATGCTCCATGATGTTAGTCCAGAAACATGCGTTTTCAACTCATTCTTATGAATTCTTCCAGATATTATTGGCTCATATGTGATTGTTGGCATGATTAGCGAATCCATTTTTCTTGCCCTCTATAGGACAAGGAACGATTTACAGACGTTATGTTCTTTGGAGGCAATTTTGACCTCTGCCCTCTCCAAACTTAACTCTTGTGACTTGCCTATTGTTGCTGCTAAGGGTAGAGAGAGTGGAAACGCGATTTTCCAGGTTACTTGACCACCTTTGTAACAACTCGGTGAGTGCGGTATGCCTTTCTATACGCATTTCCTTCCAATTGTTGCGCGTATCTACCAGAAGCTTCTGCTTCGTATCATCTTCTCTCGTTCTCTTTTTTGCTCCTGGCTCGGCATTACAAATCTGGAAACGGCTCTTATTGTCTATTCCCGACCAAAATTCTCTGGTATGGAATCCCCCTCACACTTTTATTTTGGGTAGCCATAAAGTGATTACCTGGAATTGACACGTGAGTGCCACCCTTTTGGGAAAGAATGCGCAGAGTTGT